CGCCATGACCGCCTCTCCCCTCCAGTGTGAAAATCAAAGTTGTCTCCAGACACTGGCAAATGCCCTCAAGGAAGCCAATCACCTGAAAATGTACAGTCATAGAAGAGGGCTCATGCCCACCACTAGACTTATGGGTCATTGCTTTTACGGGGTGTTGTTGAGCCATTTTCATGGGGCAAAGCAGGACGGCCCCTGTAATTGTCACAGAAGCAAATGCCAGTCTTTCTCCTGTGGAGACGCTGGGAAGGTTTGAGCCATCAACCTTTTGGCGCTTAACTGTGTGGGATACAAAAAGGCTTTTCCCCCGTCTCCCCCCAAAGGATATGTCAGACCTAGGACACTGCTTGCAACTAATGGTAAATGATTGTAGCTCACTTGGAAGCAAGCTGGTTAGAAGGTATCTCCTTGAAGGCATCAGCCATCCAGAGCAATCAGACTACTGTCTGGTCCACCTTAGGTGGGGCTCACACCTACTGATCAGGATAGTGATTGTTTCCATGGAGAGCCCAGAGAAGGTTAGACTGCCATCCTGATTCTAGGATCCGCCCATCTTGTCCCATGTGTACCCCTAATCCCTCCTCTTCCTATTGCATGAATACCCTAGATCATTCCCTTCCCATTACTCTATTGCCTGTGGTACAACCTCTTCCGGTGACGTATGTGGTAACCTGTAATCAAGGGGCTTGGACACCTCCCCAAGTATATATAAGCCTTGGTTAAAAATAAATGTTCTCTCTCCCAGTCTCTCCCTCTCATCCGGTCCCACTCCTTCCCTGTCTCCCTCCTCCCCTCTCCCCTTCCCTCTGGGCTGCAATCATGGGTGTCCAGGAGGTGAACGTGCTACCATGAAATGTGTCTGACTCCTTTATTTTACTCTCACCTACCTCTCCTTATTCTGAGTTTACTATGATCTTTATATATTATTGCCATACAGTTGCGCCTACAGACCCATGATATTTGTTAGGGGTGGTCTCCCCTGACAAAACTGCTTGCACCACCAGGACCCCTAGACATAGACTAATCTCAGCACTCTACCCACATGAAACATCAACAGCCACAAAATCAAATTAGCAAACACACAGCACCTACTACTGTATAGATCTATACCGTCTTTTAAGGTTAGTCACAAAGCTCGTTACTATTTAATTGCGATATGGCCGATTATGACGGCTAACATCCCTGTAAGATTTTCAAGGCTGTAATCTTTATGGAGTTGCGCTGCCGCATCGTTCTCTCAGAGTGGCTGGTGGATTTGAACTGCCAACCTACTGGCTAACAGTCAAGTGCTTACCCACTGCACTCCCGGGGCCCATTGTAATGTGCATTCATCTCAGGACATATCAATCACTTGTGTGTACACTTTCTCTTCTCATTTCCCTCCATCTGGATTATGCTATAGCTAGGTATTAAGCATCTGAAATGTGGCTGGTCAGACTGAGCAGTCCTGCTAAAGGTGAAAAGAGACAGTGTATTTCGAAGACCACACCCAGTGCGATCAAGTCCATTCCGACTGGCAGCACCCCACAGGACAGGGCAGAACTGTCTCCGTGGGTTTCTGGAGCTACAGGGGCTTACAAAGCCTCAGCTTCCTCCCGAGGAGCCCTGCGGCTAGCAGCCCAACTTGCAACCCACCCTGCCTGCCACCATGGCTTCTATTTCAAAGACGATGTATGAAAAAGACCCCATAAACTATCTCATGAATACTTTTTTATGTTGATTACATGTTAAAATCAGGTAGTTATAAAATATGGCTGAAACGAATTTCACCTCTTTGTTTTTTACCTTCGATGTGGCTATTAAGGAGTCCTAATGGCACTGTGGGTTAGGCACTGGGTTGCGAACCATTAGGTTGGCAGTTGAAAACCCAGCAGCCACTGCGAGGAAGAAAGCTGAGGCAGTCTGCTCCCATAAAGTTTGAGTCTTGGAAACCCTACAGGTGGTTGCTATGAGTTGCTATTAGCTCAATAACAGTGGGTTTGATTTTATTAAGAAAATTGAGATCATATATTACTAACATGTACAGCTTGCGTTGTATTTCTATTGGGCATTGTGTCCCACTGTTCAACTTTACTGCAGCTGCTGCCTAAGTAACTAGCCACAGACGTTGTCAGCCTTCATGGAAGGCAAGCCACCACAAATGGCAGCACAGGCTGCATGCAGTTCAGGATAGCTCCTTATGACTGTATGATCAACCGTAAGGATTTTATGTAGACATTCAAAGGCAAATCCAACCCATGGCAGGATTTTCACAAGATGCATATCCATATGGTTGCTAAAAACTTAACAAGGCAAACGACCAGTGACTTTTAAAGTAACTCAAACTTCCATTAAGACTGACACAACTTTTAGGGTGTGGGAAACAGAAAGATTTCTCCCAAGTCGTCTCCCCCAACTATATGGTAGACTTAGGACACTGCTTGCAGCTAATGATAAATGATTGTCAAGTTACTTCCCTGAAGGCAGTCAGTTGCCAAACTACAGGGAGGCCCTGTTCCCGGCTGCTAAGGACAATGGGTTACTTCTCAATAAAGGCTTATAGTCATTGATTTGGTTACTGTACAGGGAGTTCACAACCCGATAATGGTCTCTAGTTGAGTCAGAGAACAGGTCAAACCTGCTCAGTGACATCCAAAGTTAGGCTGCCATCCTGAATCTAGGATCTGCCCATCTTGCCACATGTATACCTCCACCCCCCCACCCCCCATTACTGTATTACCTATAGCAGAACCCTTTCCTGTGATGTATGTCTTCACTCGTAATTAGGGACTTGCATGTCCCCAGAGAATATAAAAGCCTTGGTTAGCATTAAATATCTCTCTCTCTCCACATGGACCACCAAGTGAGACTGAGGTGAGCATTGCTACCATGAAATGTGTCTGACTCCATGATTTCAATCTCTTCTATCTCTCATGCTCTCTATGACTTTACTATAATCTTGACTTATTATCGCTGTACAATTGTGCCTACCGGACCCGTGATGATGTGTTAGGGGCTGGATTACCCTGACATTAGGGGGATAATATATTGTTCAAAAACTTTAAGTGTCTCAGAGTAGGGTGTCCTTGACTCTCATAGCATTTGCTATTTGAGAACATCACTCCGTAAGGATTTTATTTCCTATCGTCATAAGACTTTGAAGACAGGGTCTTGTGTGGCATCCGTTGATTGTAATTCACAGCTACCTTCTAGGGCACAGCACCGCTACCAAGCAGGCTTCCTAGGCTGTCATCTTTACAGAAGCAAACGGCCAGGTTTGTTCTCCCTGAGTCAAGGGCTGACCTTTTGGTTAGCGGCTGAGCACTTTAACCATTGTGCCACCAGAGGCCCTTGAGTGATAGAGAGTTCCTATTTATATTTTGAAAATACAGCCCAAACATTGTGTTCCATGGGGGGGGGGGGTCCAACAAAAATTAAGTCTTTGTACAAACAACTGTGGGTGATCAATACTTAACTTTCACTTCCAAACATCCCCCAGTTTCCAGTACTTTTCTAATAGGAAGAAAAACAGATAAGCAACTATTAACACCTTTAGGGAAAACAACCCTGCAAGTTCTGAGGATAAAGATCTCACCAAGCTGGTAATATCAAGGGATTCTGCTATTCTCCTATTTATAATTGTTCCTTCTGGAAATCTGATCTTCTCCAAAGACACTGGAAATTAGGGGTCTGGGCCAGCTCAAGTGCAAAGTGGAGCAGGATTGGCCCTGCCTGTGCTGCCACACATTATCTTCCAAAACAAACTAGCAAACTCACTGACATCGAGTTCATTGAGTCTCATGGCAACCCTGCACAACAAGCTAGAACAACTCCATGGGTTTAGAAATGGTAACTCTTTACAGAAGTAGAAAGTCTCATCTTTCTGCTGCAGTGCAGCTGGTGGTTTTGACCCTCTGATCTTACAGTTAGCAGCCCAACACCACTATGCCACCCCTAAATGAATCCATCCCTAGTTTTCGAGAGTGCTTGTCTCTGAGATGCAGAGCCCCCTTCCTCCAGGGGTTTAACTCTTACTTCTAAAATCAAACCCAACTCACTGCCTTGGAGCCAATGCTGACTCATAGCGACCCCCTGTGGGGTTCCAACACTTGGTTTACAGGAGTACAAGGTGCAGTCTTTCTCCAGGGGAGCTGCTGGTGATTTTGAATTGCCGACCCTGTGGATCCAGGCAATGAGTAAACACTGCACCACGGCACCAACAGAGCTCCAACTCTCACTTCAAGACTCAGCTGAAATTCCTGGTGAAACCTCCTAACCCACAAGACACTTAACTCCCCTTCCTTCATTCCACCACCCCACCTAGCTCCTAGCTTTAATAAACAAAACCACAACCCACTGCCGTCGCGAGGCGCTCCACAGGCTAGAGTAGCTCTTTAAGGTCTCTAAGACTATAAATCTTTATGGCACAGACAGCCTCGTCTTTCTCGAACCAGTGGCCTTGGGGTTAGCAGCTCAACCCTTAGCTGTCATATCGCCCTGCAATTACTTGTTCATCTTCTAGCTGGTGTTCTAGAATAGATGGGAAGAGTCTTTTGAATATGGAGGCTGTCTGACTCTTTTCTCCCACAGCATAAATACGGCGGGCGCTTGGTTGACGGATCTGAATCTAAAGTCTTTGCCAACTTCATTGTTCAGTGCCCAATGTTAGAACTGTTCCTTGGGGTTTCCGGGAACAGGTCGCCAGGTCTTCTCGCATGGAGTCACTGAGCGGGGGTGGGGTGGGGGTGTATGTTCAACTGCCAACCTCTCGGTTAGCGACGAAACTAGCACAGAGGAATTCCTCTCCAAAGAGTAATAAGCATTCTTCCCTACGATTCTGCACTGGACCTGGCACATAATAGGCTATTATGTGCCAGGTTAAGTTAAAGTAGTACTTATTTAAATATGATTGTGAATTTGCAGGCGGATTCCATCCAAATCTAGCACCAGAGATTTATTCAGCGTTCCCCGAGCACCCAGCGGTGCTTCCCCTTCCTACGAAGCCGTGGCTTGGTCTCCAATACCTTTTCCAAAACTCTATCAAAGCCGCGCGCTTGGCTCATAGCCTTCAGCACCTCCCGCATGTTCTGTGTCAGGCTGCTCATCGTGGACAGCTGGCCGGCTTCTGCGCCCTGGTCACGAATGAACCCCAGAAGAGAAGGAGAGTCCAGAAGTAGGCGTGCAGAACAAGGCTACCGAAGGCAAAGGTTAGCCTCTCCGCGCAGTCTGTGCACAGCCGTTCCGCG